TGTAGGAACCATTACACAGTCAGTCAGTTTTGCTCTGGCATTTTTTTTCTATTGTGTCCGAACACAGTCCCTGCCAACCTTCTGTTAAAAGAATATTAGTTGACCAAGCCTGACTTTTCCCTTGTTAGAGTAGGCCAAAACTATATGGTCTTGGAAAACCCATTTCAGGCCTTCAGCTCATGCCTTGTGTAATTTCATTAATTGCCTTAGCCTTCTCTGCTGTTTCTTAATTGCACACTCAATTATGGCAAAGCACTGGCCCTCAAATCTGAGTGTGGTCAACTGCTGCCACAAAAATTAAGTCTTTCTAGAGGCTATGCTTATTTAAAAATACCCAGCACATATTGCTTGGTGCTGAGAATATTTCCAAAAAACACTCAGCCTTTCTTACACACTAGTGTAGTCTATCCTCTTTGTACAGAAATGCTCCTTCACAGTTGTCTGCTTGTGGCTGATGCCTTGTTAGCTGCTGTGGTGGAGTGTGCTCCTACAAAACAAGCTGTATTTGGACTTGTATCAAAACTAAGTTTTTTCACAAAGGAGAGCCTCTGGAGCAAGGCATGCATGAACATCTTACAATAAATTACTACAAAGAGCATGCACTCAGACTGGGACAGCCAGGGACATTCTGACATTCAAAGTGAATCATCTGGGCCACGCAATTAATTTTAATCCACAACGTATCTGAATCCCTCTCAATATCCTTCCAGTGGGTCACAAAGCTCTTCTGCAAACAGGAAAACACTCTGAGATGCACAGAAGGCAGCTGTTAAAACTAACCCCACCCCCCAAAAAAAACCCCCCACAAACCCACAACACCAAAAAAACCACCAATCAATTAAACATGACAGGGCTTCCACGAGTCAGCTTGTGGAAGATGCAGATATATCTACCTGTATTAAAGGTGGAGTGGCCACTGGGATAGAAGCACAACAGCTGAATCCATAATGCATCAGGAGACAACCTTGTCCTCCCCAAAGTTTTGGAATTGCCTCTCTGGGATCTACAGAGAGAAACAGAGAAGCAAGGACAAGAGGTTTGCCAGAGGGCAGCAGAGATTAGACAGAGAAATTGTCTAATAAAGAGAGCTACTGCTCTCCCTGCTGACATCCAGATACAAAGCACAGTTAAGCTCCTTGGAGTTTCAAGCATCCCACCTGATCATGCATTTATC